TTTTTGATGCCACAGTCAGGATAAATATGGAAAGAGTGCTGTACGGGAGAAGCCAGCTAAAAAAGGTCTCACATCGTCTATTCTGTTGGTGTGCAGTGTCCCAAATGGGGAAATCCACAGGGAAAAAGTAGGCTCGTGGTTACTGGGGTTTGGGTGGGACGATGAAGGTGACTGTGGATGTAGCGTTTGAGACGCGTTGGCAGTGAACGGTAGAGACAGGTCACACCCTTGAAAATCCTCAAAACCACTGAGTTTCACAGTTTAAAAGATGGGTTTTGCTGGGCGTTGGTGCTTTAATCCCAGCGCTCGGGAGGCAGAGGCAGGAGGATCTCTGTGAGTTCGAGACCAGCCTGGTCTCCAGAGTGAGTGCCAGGACAGGCTCCAAAGCTACACAGAGAAACCCTGTCTCGAAAAACCAAAAAAAAAGAGATGGATTTTAGCCCATCTCTTTAGGGCACATGTCTTTAGTCTCAGCCCTGGGAGGCAGAGGCAGGAGGATGTCTGTGAGTTCCAGACCATCCAGGACAACATAGTGAGACATAAAAAGAAGACATTTCTAGCATAAATCATGTCAGTAAACAGTATGGGGGAAATGCAAAGAGACAAGCCGGGAAGTGGCGTTGTAGCTTAACTGTGACCACCTTTAAAGCAGTGGATTCGCTGTGGTATTTCCCGTAGGGTTCTGGGAGACACAGGATAACTTGTGTGGGAGGACTTAAAAATCAGGTTGTTAGAAAGACAGACCCCATGTCTGTGTATTAGTATAAGTTCAGTTTATTCTTTTGAAAAGTATTTATTTTATGTGTATGAATGTTTTCTCTGCATGCATGCATGCATGCATGTATGTATGTATGTATGTATGTATGCATGCATGTCACGTGTGTTCAGTGCTGACAGAGGCCAGAAGATCCCCTGAAACTGAAGTTGCAGTGCTGTGAGCTGCTGTGTGTGTGCTGGGAATCAAACCTGGGTCCTCTCCAAGAGCAGCAGTGCTGCTAACCACTGAGCCACCCCTCCAGACCCTCAATTTTGTTATTCTTACTATGTAAGTTCAGGATAACAAAGACAGTGAAGGTGACATGTTTAAAGAAAGATTAAGCCAAGTGTGGCCACACATACCTGTAATCCCATCACTAGGGCAACAGAGGCAAAGGATCCCACAAGTTGAGGCAAACCTGGTCTATGTAGTGAGCTTGAAACTGTCCAGTGAGACCCTCCTCCCATACCCCACACCCTCCTCTCTACTGGAGTCAAGGAGCCCCTGGACAGGGGGACACACTTACTGGTTAAGTCTCTGTTTCTATTGGCAGAGCTCTGTGGGCTCCTGGAGAAGGCTCACAGAATTCTCATTTTACACGGATCGTTAAGTGTGAGAGATGTCAGCTCAGGCTGAGGCAACTTCAACGAGGTCAAACTAAGCCTCTTTGTCTTAATTTGACTTCTCAAAGGGCTACTCTTATTATAGAACTTGCTGGAAATTTCTTAAATTTCCATATTGTTGTAGACTTAATGCAAGTGCCTTGTTTTATTCATTTTTTAATATAAAAAGAATCTGGGCGTTAAGCACACTTTTGACTGGAAACTCATGTCCTATAGTGCCTGACCGTCGGTTAAGTGTGAAGAAGTCAAATCAAGTCGTACAATAGAGAGCTCCAGTTTTCACAATTCACTGGTACCTTGTTGCCGTGTGCTCCTTTTGTGGTGCTCTGCTGATGGCTGGGAGGATATAAAGGAGGGTTTGGGAAGAGTCGGTTCTCGTGGCCAGCTGACAGCTGCCATAAGATTATGTCCCCATGGCTTTAGGCTGTGACAGCTCTGAGTGCGTCCCGTAAGTGTTTAGTCCACTACTCAGTGGCCTACACACCCCAAAGGCAGCCGTGTAAACACGGCTCACGATAGTGCCATGAACACTTGACTCTGTTTTAGACTGTTTACACTACCGTGTTTCCAACTAGGCTGTCTTCCTGCAGAAGAGAAAGAACTCATTCCCTGCTAAGGTTTAAGACAAAGTGAGCAGGAGAAAGCTGGGCAAGGTGGCACACACACCTGTGCTCCCAGTGCTCAGGGGGCTGAGGCAAGATGGAGAGTTTGAGGCCAGCCTCAGCTATGACATGAGTCCTAGGCAGGCTGAGCTGTGTATCAAGACCCTCTGAGGAAATATATAAAGCCGTGGGGAAGCTGAGAAGGATTCCTGGGCAGCTAGATGACTCAGTGGCGGGGGGAAAAGCGCTTGCCAAGAAAGCCTGAACTGGAAAGAGAACTGGATCCCCAGAGTTGCCCTCCGACCTTCTCATGGCACCATGTGCGCACGCATGCAAAGGCTCAGGATAATTAAAGGAAGACGACTCCCTAAGACCAGTCCACATGTACCGCAGCCTGAGAAGGAAGCTCCCATTGTTAGAGTTTATTGAATTCGTAACTGGCACACGACCGAACTAAATTAAATTAAACTGAATTAAGAGAAATTCCTTTCCCACCCTCACGTCCACATTCTGTATTGAAGTGAACTTTTAAATCTACTGGGTTTTTGTTGTTGTTGTTGTTATCTTATGAAAAAAATCAAATTATGAAGTTGTTTTGAATTTTTAAAACTTGTTTTGTGTGTTTGAGTGTTTTTCCTTACATGTATGAACGTGTACTGTGTGTGGCTGGTACCTCCAGAGGCCAGAAGAGGGCATCAGTTCCACTGGAACTGGGCTCACAGGCGACTGTGGGTGCTGGGAACCTGGCCAGTGCTCTTCCCTGCTGAGCCATCTCCATCCTCACTTTGATCTTCTAAATGTAAAACAGACGGAGATGGGCATCTGACCTGTTTCAAGGTCTCTGCTTGGGGCTCCTGTAAAAATGTCTTTACTTTTGACAATTTCATACGTGCTTACAATGTAGCTTGATCATAGTCATTCCCAGTTCTGCTGTTCACTTCCCCCCGACTCCTGTTGGGACTTCCTGACTAGGAATTTTAATTCTCCCGCTGGGTAGTGAGCCAGGGATCCACCCGATCATTGCAGTTTATCAGTTTATGGTCTAAGACCGATATGTGGATTCCCGGGAGTTTATTATAACCAGCACATTCCGGGGCCAGCATATCTCTGTAGCTAGGTCTCCAGTACTGCATTGGAAGGCCTGCCTTCTCTGGATGCTTTAGCTCGACTTGTTTTGTGCTTTATGGGTGAAGTGTGTTTTCATGCCCCTTTTTTCCCTCCTCCCACAGCGCCATGGAGAGCCACTCCCTGCTCAATCCCAACCTCCAGCAAGGAGAAGGAGTCCTGTCCAGCTTCCGGACCACGTGGCAGGAGTTTGTGGAGGACCTGGGCTTCTGGAGGGGCTTGCTCTTGATCTTGGTCATTGCTTTGCTATCTCTGGGCATCGCCTACTATGTGAGCGGGGTGTTGCCCTTCGTGGACAACCAGCCTGAGCTGGTGCATTGAGGGCTCATGGCGATAAGGCAAGGAAGGGCCTGTCAGTATTGCTTTTCGGTTCTTAGACTGTCTCTTAGCGCAGAGCAGCAAGGGCTGCTTTCGTTTTGGATTTTTACTTGCCGTGACCCTTTGAGAAGAATGATGTGTTCCTTTGAACTTCGTCCTGTGGTTGGTTATACTGCGTCCGGATGCTGCCTCTGATGCAGCCTGTGATTAAAGACTATCTGCCCAGGCTTGTATGATCAAATGTGGCCATGACCAGAGGCCCCCCAGCAGGGATCCGACCTAAGGGAGGATCAGTGACTACCAGAAATCAGGTTGTTTTTTTTGTGACTCCGTTTTGTTAGTGGATTTGTTTTCTCTCTTGTTCAGTTTTTCCAAGAGCCCTGTTCTGTTTTTATTTACTTTCCTGGGAACAGGAGAGAGTGAACACTTTCAACTTAATTTTTAATTCCTCACCCCCACAACCTAAGTGCAAATTAGAACTGTTAGAAACTTACTTCCTGGTCTCTTCCCATTTTTACTTTTGAGATGTCCAGTTCAGAGAAATATCGGGAAATCCTTGGTAGTGAGTAGTCAGCAGAGAAAAGGAATCCTCCCCGTGATTGTCGCCATAACCGGCAGTGCTGTCACGACAGTGAGACTTAGTCCTGAGAGCCCACTGTGCCATCATGGCTCATCACAATTAACCCTTGGTCCCAGCGAATGCTGTCCAGGTCAGCGGTGTCCGGCGGTGGGAGTGGGGGAGTTTTTCTGAGTTAAGAGCTCTGAACAATGTCCCACTGGTGTCATGGCGGTCATGGTGCCCGTCTGCTATGTATAGACGCCTTATGTGAACAGGAACCTGGACCCCAAATTACGCTGCAGCTTCCAACAGTGTGATTGACAGCCCCCTTTGTGCTTCTGTAATATAGAAATCGTGTGTTTATGTTTTCATGGATTATGGAGGCTTAATAATTTTTCATTGAAGAACTAATGGTTTTGTTTTCTGTAGCAAATGCGTCAATAGTTGACGGTTTGCGTAGAGTGGGCCCTTCCTCCAGCCTCTCGCTTGCGGACATTTTTCCCCCTGCTGTGACATAGCAGGCATTGATGCTTTTTTCTTTCACGTGGCTTTATCCTAGCTGAAGGAATGGTTTTACAACTCCTGACTGGCTGCTTCAGAGCCAGCCTGCAGAGCTTGCTGTTTCTTAATCTCGTGTGGTGTAATGCCAGGAGGGAATGCAGGCTTCTCCTGGAGAAGAGTAGAACTCAGGTTCTACTCATGACACTTAGAGCAGAATGCTTTAGCAGTGGTTTTCCCTCTGTATATTACACACATGTAATATAGAAATATGCAGCGTCTAAGATCCCTGCTTCCCGCCCCGGGCTGGTTTCTTTGCATTGTGTGCTCTGCATCATTCGTTCAGCAATGCCACCAATAAATGTGTTTATAAATCCTCAGTCACCATCCATTATTTTCTTAGTGTGTCGCATTTCAGGATTTTTGTAATGGTTTGCTGTTAGCTGTTTCAAAAGCTTTAAGCCCTGGTGTCAACACAGACGTTTGTCTCCGTTTGTCTCCCAGATGCTCCAGAACCAGTCAGTGAACACTGCAAATGAAATAAAGTTTGGTGGGGACGTCAGGATCAGCACCTCCCGATAGATCACTTAGCATGCCTTGTCTCAGTTTTCCTGTCACTCTGCGACACCGCCTGTCCCCATCTCAGAAGCTGGTAAGGCTGATGCAGGGGAGAGTCAGTGGCCCATCCAAGCCAGGTCACCCTGCTGGGCTGTGGAGAGCAGTGGCCAGATGGGGGCCGTGCCGTGTGGCACTTCCGTTTGCTGTCTCCTTTCCCCTGCTTTCTGTGACACATCTGGACGTGGGACCCTGCTTATAGGGAGCCTGGCCTGCCGAGAAGGCGGTCCACTGCTGCCTGCCCCAGGTGCCGCCCTTCAGTCCTCACCTGTGCTCGTTGGGGGTGCCTTTGTTCTGCAATGCGTGGCTGTTGCCGTGTGCTCTCTGTCCTTGTGGTCGTCAGCTTCCGTAGGGCATGGCTTTGGGCTGTTTCTCTCACCCCCTGTCCAGGGGACATCGTTAGAGCTCCTTGTGCAAAGGTACTGGCAGCATCACTTGTTTACCTATCACAAGGTCTCGTAGCTCAGGCTGGCCCCAGACTCCCTGTGTAGCTGAGGATGACCCTGGATGTCGGGTGCGTGCCACCATGTCCAGTTTTCTGTGGTGCTGGGGATTGACCCCAGAGCTCTGCTACAGCAGGCAAGCACTGTGCCGGCTGAGCCTCATCCCAGACCTCGGTTATTTTCACATTAAACAGCTTTGAACGCCACGTGTTGTCCCAGCAAGCTGCATGTGTCAACTGTGCGTGAACCATGCTGGCCTTTGTTGCACAGTTGCCAGTGACTTGGTGGGGGAACTGTGCAGGCTGGTGCTGTGTGGACCCCTAACTGTGGAGGACGTGGACAGTCGCCAGGACTGCCTGCTGCAGGTGCGCACGGACCAGCAAGTGCCGGCATGCTCGCGCACACACACACATACACAGATACACACACACACATACACAGATACACACTCACACACACTCACACACACACACACACACATACACAGATACACACTCACACACACTCACACACACACACACACACATACACAGATACACACACACCCGCACACACACAGATACACACTCACACACCCCCACACATACACAGATACACACACACACATACACAGATACACACACACCCGCACACACACACAGATACACACACACAGATACACACTCACACACCTGCACACATACACAGATACACACACACACACATACACAGATACACAGATACACACTCACACACCCACACACCCACACAGATACACACACACACACATACACAGATACACACTCACACATACACAGATACACACTCACACACCCGCACACACACACAGATACACACACACACATACACAGATACACACACACACGCACACACACACAGATACACACACACACACACACAGATACACACTCACACACCCGCACACACACACAGATACACACACACACATACACAGATACACACACACACATACACAGATATACACACACACAGAGATACACACTCACACACAATGATACACACTCACAAACAAATCCCCACTCACACACGTGCACATACACAGAATACACATGTGTATGTGCACACACATACACAGATACACACACACACACTCACACACACACACACTCACACACACACACACTCACACACACTCTGAGGTCTTTAGCTTAGGTCCTCTGTGCTTTAGGCTCTGCCCTCCTGTTGTTGAGCCCTAGGGCTGGTTCTGGGGTGTGGGTGGAGTTTTCAGGGGCATCTATGCATAACTTGCAGAAGAAGCCGTCTTCCCTGTGACTTCCCTCCATGTGAAGCCCCCGGCAGACCTTCCTCTGTCACACGAGATAATGCCACATGGAACACTGTGTTGTCATCAGCAGCCCGTGTGTAGACCCATGAACTCATCATTGGTACGGTGAGGACTACACCCGACATGATCTCCTGGACCATGGATTGGCATCTAGTGGGCAAGCGTCATAGACGTACTATGTCCCAAAGTACATGTGACAGCCTTGCACAACAGAGACTTGTCTACACCCCATGTGGTTGCCGGGTAATCCTGTGTTAAGAAAACAGAAACTTCTGCTACTGTCTGAGACTAGCCCCAACTCCATTTTACTTTAAAAAAAACTATTTTATGTGTAGGGTGTTTTGCATGCATGTATTTTAATGTGCCCCATGTGTGCCTAGTGCTATGGAGGCCAGGAGAGGGGACTGGGTTCCCTGGAACTGGAGTACACATGGTTGCGTGCCACCGTCCAGGTTCTGGGAATTGATCCTGAGTCCTCTGGACACACACACACACACACACACACACAAACACACGCCCAGCCAGTGCCATTAACCGTGGGGCATTTTACAAACCGTAAGCTGGTGGGTCCAGGCTGAATAAAAAGCTGGCCGGGCATGAGTCAGGGCAAGCTGGTAGACAGCCATCTCAGCCCCCATTCTAATTCCTGCCTCGGCGCCTGTCATTGGTGGATTGTAACCTGCAAGGGAAACAAACCCATCCCTACCCAGGCTGGCATGGTCATGGTGTTCATCACAGAGACAGCAAACTCAGACAGCCTTGGCCTGTCAGTAGCACAGGGATGGCCAAAAACCTGGAGAATCAGACAGACGGACACAGGCACGTGTGTGCGGGGTTCAGTCCCCAGCAGGAGCCTTGCTTTTTTGTCTGGGAATGTTGCCTGAGCAGGTGGAGTTCCTTTCTCACACCTGTGGGGGCAGGGCAGGCAAGCTGAATGCCACCTGCCCCTGAACTTTATATAGGTCATTACAGCAAACCATTCCTCTGTTTATGCTATTTGCATAATCCTCTTTACATCACCTTTAAGTCACCACAGGGTGGGGGACGGGTGTCCCTTTTAGTATGAATTTATAGAGCAACTCATAACTTTT